TATCCTTCCAATACTTCCTTCAAACATTGTTTCTAAGCTTTCTTCCAGACCCACTAGTAACTGGAATTACCTTTGGTATGCCATTGATTTCATACAGAACATCTCTTCTAAATCCCAAAGTCATATATATTCATCTGTATGTTCAACATATCTATTAGTACCTCCATGCTTGCTTGGCCCTTTATAGAAACACTAGCCCTATCATCCACATATTTGTGCAAGCCAGGTCCTTAATCCTTAACATCTTCCCCTCACTTTCCATATTCATTCCTACCTTCTTTGATCATCCTAGGAGGCTAGGCCAGGATTCTTTATTTTGCTCTCTCATAGAATCACATTCTTTTATCTTAGTTTAGCATTATTTGTTCATGAAGTGTGATTGTTGTTTGAATATCTGCCTCATACCCTAATTCATGTATCCTTCAAGAGAGACTTTTTGTTCATCATTGTTTTCCTAGAACTGGGCAGGGTATAGGCACTCAGTATTGTTGCAGCAGCAATGAATATTGCTATGAATGTATCCATTATTATACTTCCACACTTTGTGCCATGTGCTCCCGTCCCTCACTGCTCAACAAGCTCTTGGAGGCCAAGAACTATCTCTTACTTATCCTAGTCTTGGCACAATGTTATAGATCTGTTTTAATTCACTATGAAATAGCACTGTCAAAAGTGTTCTCTTCAACTTTAAGAAGAAATCAAGTGCCATTACTATTGCTAGTTATGTTTTGCTGATGTCAGTTTGTTTTATATTTGTTATTCCTAAGCTATGCCAGGCCCTTCCTTATACAACAAGTAGCAAGACTTGACCCCTTGGTTGTGTTTCTTTTCAAACAGGCCACAGGGATTTCATGCTCAGTGTTCTGTGGACATCTTTAGGCATCCTTTGTTGCTTACAGGCCCACTCATTTCCAGAAAGTATGGAGGGTAATGATGTCTCAGATCACTACTATCTGAAATGTGTTGTGGATGTCCACAATGGTAGCATTGTACATCATAGTAGGCACTCAAGGATAATGGATTAAATTATTCATCAATAATAGCAGTATTAATTCTAAAGTCATAAATCTTAAGACCATGTGTGTTCAGCAGTGACTTAAAAGTGCTGTCAAAGAAATTAAAGGTGCTGTTTACTGGTGTCTTTTCATATTGAGTATACTAAAAAATGTAGTGATACCCACACCCCATATTAATTAATAAATGTACTTATTTACTCTTTAAATTAAGTAGATATGCCTCCTGTTGATTTATATGTTATGAAAACTAGTCTTGCTTGGCAAGTAATTTTGTGTACTTGTCATTGGAAATAAAAGGTAGCTCATATAACTTGGCCTCCTGGTGTGGCACTATAGGATAAGCATGGACTATGAACCACAAAGTTGATGGTTCAAACCCACCAACCACTCCTCCAAAACCATGTACAGGGTTGCTATGAGTCAAAATCAACTTGACGGCATTTAATAACAACAACATATAACTTTATAATACTGTGGATGTTCAAGCATTCTGGTTTAGTCACACATGTTTAATGATTTCAGCATTCCTCTTAGGGTCTGTGGCCCAGTTCTGTACATTTTATGGTTGTTAGATATCATTGAGTCAGTTCCAACTCATAGCAACCCTATGCAAACAGAACAAACCACTGCCCAGTCCTGCACTGTTCTCACAGTTGTTACGTTTGAACTCCTTTTTGCAGCCTCTGCTGTCAGTCATCTCGCATGGGATGTGTATGCATCTCTTACCCTTAGAGCATTATTCCTCGTTGTCTTTTTTCCTTCCCTGAGCCCTCCATGCGTAATATCTTCCACGACTTTACTCATAAAAGTATGAAGCAGATTTATTGATCACTGACCATGAAGTAAGTGCCCGAAAGCCGATATTACAGTTAGCTCTATTCGGTGGGTGAAGAAACTGAGCCAAGAGAAGGTAGACAGAGCTTACACAACTAGCAAGTGGCAGACCAGATCCAGCAGGACTCAGTCTATGTCTTGTACTAACTCTAAATACAAAAAACTTCTGGGTTTGAAGGTATTATGTAAGTATGACATATTGAAAATATATATTGAAGTGGTGTTTTGTTTGTTTGTTTAACTAGAGATGATTTTGCACAGGGTAGACATAGGGGCATATGAGGAGGCTTCAAAATGTCCATAGAAAAGTGGAATTAAAAGATAATGGAATTTTCCCACCATCTTTTTGAAGCCCCCTCATATTGTTCACTTAAAAATTTCCTCGATTAAAAATATCTAGAAAGGCATTCGAACTATTTCAGTGTCATATGTAATTATAACCAGTTGCCATTGAGTCAGCTTTGACTCATTCATGGTGACCCATGTGTGTCAGAATAGAACATGCTTCATTAGGTTTTCAATGGCTGACTTTCTAGAAATAGATTGCCAGACATTTCTTTCAAGGCACTACTGTGTAGATGCAAACCTCCAGACTATTGGTTAGCAGTCCAAGAGCATTAACCATTTGTACTACCCAGGGACTCTTTCTGTCACTATTAAAAAGCAAACCTTTTGCCATCAAGTTGAATCTGGCACATGGTGACCCCATGTGTTACAGAGTACAACATAGATTATCTTGGCTCTAATCTTTATGGATGCAGATCACCAGAACTTCCTTCTCCATTGCCTGGGGGCAGGGAGAAGGCAGTTTCAAACTGCCAACCTTTAGGCTAGTGGTGGTGGTTAAGAGCCGTGCAGTCAGTTCGGACTCATTGCGACCCTGTACAAGGTTTCCAAGGCTGTAAATGTTTACAGGAGCAGAAAGCCTCATCTTTCTCTCACAGAGGTGAGCAGAAACGATTTGCACCACCCCGGGACATCTGTAATAATAACCTACCTTTACTGAAGCCAATTATCTAGTTGATATATTTCATTTTACTTCTTTGTCTCTGTCTTCTCTGCAGTCAGATCAAACCCTCCTGCAAATTCTGCAGCCTCTCCACCCTAGTTCAAGGCTAACCTGGTGTAGCCAGTTCCACTTACAGGGACAGCCACCCATCATGACTTAGGATGATAGACATTTACCAAAGTGACCTACCACAAGTGAGGTCTGTCAAGTGACCTGGATGGGGAGTATATTATGGGGTATTGATCTGATCACAGGCAGCAGACTTCTTGTGGGTGAAACTTTTTTGTAAGGAAATCTTTACTCTTCACACTGCCCTCTTTATTATTCTTCTTCATTATCTGTTATGGGGGGAAAAAAGAAGTGTATTTCTGGGATGTATATCACAGGTGTATAGAGTAACAGTGAATTTGGCTGGCCATGGGAAATTGTCATTTTAATTACAGTGAACAATTAACTGGTTGTTATTAAGTGGTATCCAGTCAGTACCGAATCATAGCGACCCTATGCACAACAGAACGAAACACTGCCCGATCCTGGGCCAACCTCACAATTGTTGCCACACTTGAGCCCATTGATGCTGCCACTTTGCCAATC